AAATCCGGTTAAAAATCGGCTCCCGCCGCTGTGGGAGCTTTGCGCGAGCGCCCGGCTGCGCGGGGCGGATCGGGACCCCTCTCCCCCGGGGTGCTCTGCGTTGTTTTTCTTTTAGTCTGGGTTTTTAGAGGAAGAAAAGTGCTTTCTTCTAGCCCTCGTTGGCTGCTGGCTGTATGGAGAGCGGGGCAGCAGAGCCCACTCGTGTCGCGGGTGGGGGCTCGGTCACTGGGGGGGTTTTTGGAGCACTTTGTGGGCAGGCGGCATCTCCCCGTTCTCGCAGGTGGGAAAACTGAGCGGCCGCTAAGTGACGAGCCCGAGGCCGCACAGGAAATGTGTGGTGGAGCGGGACTAAACCCCAGATTTCCCGTTCGGTGCTCTTCTTGCCTGGCTGGGGACAGCGGTTTAACCTCACGCTCTCGGGCTGCTGGGGTAAAGTCCTGCCGGGGTTATGCCAGCTCCTAGCCAGGGCTCCTGTGGTGGCAGCCGGGCCAGGTGCCAGCAGACTGAGGCCCCTCTGCTGCGAGAGGTGGATTTGGAGAGCAGAGATGTCCCTTTGGATGGGATGTGGGTCCAGGATGGACACTGGGTGTGTGCTGCTCGGGTGTCACATTGGCTTGGCAAGCTGGCCTGTGTGAAAAGTGGCCCCATCCTGCTGCTCAGGGCACACTTTGTCTGCACCCTCAAATCTCAGACAACACGGTTCTCCAAATGAGTTCTGTGCTATTCTGATTACGTGATGGGAAACTTTTGGGGGAGAGGTAGGTGATGTGTCTCTTCAGGCCATGTGGCGTACATTGAAAAGCTCATATACAAACCTTTCTTGATCTGATTTTTCCCATTTCTGCCCACTAAAGGCATGAACTCTGCCCAGCCATGGGCTTTCTCTCTGCCCAGTGCTGTAGAGTGGCTCCAGTTGAATAGGGAGGGTTTCCCTACTCTTCCCCCTGACCACCTACTCTGGCTGCAACCCCAAACAAGGATCATAGTGTCCTGAGGAACACTTCTCCATGGATAGGAAGCCAGAAGTTTACTTCATTATCTGGAACAGCTTATTCTAAACTAATCTCTCTTTAAGAGATGAGGAGGAAGGGAAAACCACCCAGATGCTCAGATGCATTTTATTTACCATAAAAGAAAATAGCAATTTAACGATAACTTCTATTAACTAGGTTGGGTCTATGACCTTGATGTATTTTACAACATAGCTGAGAAGAGGGAGCAGACTGTTCCAGTCTGTTTATTGTTTCCTCTTAGTGCATCCCAGTAACTTGCAGCACACGGATGCCCACACAGTTCTGGAGTCCTGACCCACCTTTGGGGGTGGGAAAGAGAAGGCTGTTGGATCTGATTTGCTTCAGATACAGCCTAATCTGTAGCTGGTGTTAATTATATTATAGATGGGTTGGGGTTTAGCATAGGTTTTTCTGACAGGGCTCAGCCTCCGCAATTCTTGCTACTGTAGAAAAGCTGTAGTAACTTGAAGCCCTGAAGTCACTCGTGGGAGCACATCCCTATCAATAAATTCCTTGTTGTAAAGCCAAGTGAAACCAGGACAGCCTGGAGTGGGGTAGCCTGGAGCAGGTGAGCCAGGCTGGTACTGAGAGCCGTCTGGGTTGTCAGTGTGGGGAGATTTAAACAGCAGTGTAGCTCCAGTTCTCATTTATATAAGTGTGTCTCCTTTCTCTGCAGGGTTTTCCTTCAGTTTATACCTCCTGCTCCTCCTCTCCAAAAACACTGTCCTTCTGTGTATGCGAGCTTTTCCCTCTGCTTTGGTTACTATGGTGTTACTATATAAAAACAGCTCATCTTGTAGCTCCTGGATGTATCTGTACCTTGGATTTGCGGTCCAGCCCTGGGACACAGGCCTGTGTCCATCTCTTGTCCAGCCTTTCCCTGTCTGTGTGATGGGACGGGTCTGGAGGCACGGTTGTCTGCAGGGCATGGCTGTGCCTTGATCCCACGGGACCTCCTCCAGGTTTCTGGGCACCAGGATCCCACTGCTTTGTGTGAGGCTGTCACACAGATCATCTCTTGCTGTTCCTGAATGTGGGACAGCATCTGGGCTGTGATGAGACCTGCAAGACTCGCTCACATTCATCCCCTCCAGGGACTGGGCCAACTGCAGGCAGGGCATCAGCTCCCTCTAAAAACTGTTGGGAATGGAGACAAACAACTGAGAGTCTGTAGAAATCTGTGCAAACAAAAGGCAGAAGGTGGGAGCAGATATCTCCCCCCATCCTGCTCAGCACCCCCAGCTTTGTGCAAGTTAACCCCCATGGGCTGGCTTGTTGCTGCCCGCTCTGCTGCAATGGGTCCCTTGCTTCCCATCGCCTGATATTATTATTCCTTTCTGGTTTTTCCACCTGATTTGCATGTAAAAAAGCATGAGGGAGGTTCACCCCATGGGAAGGTCCTTGGTTTGCTCACAGCCAATGTAAATTATTGTCACCCTCATTCTTGCGGGGGCTGGGGTCATCCTGGAATAGAGGGATTTTGTTGGGAAAGGAGGGGCCCAGAGCCAGGTCCACATTCCCCCCTCCTTGCTCATGCTAAGGGTGATTTGCCCCATGCAGACACAGAATCATGCTGAGTTGCCTCTCTCTCTTTGCATTAACTACACAGGAGATCAGGAGGATGATCTTAGTAACTTAAACACCTGCTCCAGGTAGAATGAGTCTAGTCCTGCTATGGAGGCTATTTTGGAGAAGATCGTGCTTGCTGGTGCCTGATGGTCTTTGTGATGAAGGTCAGCAGCCTCCCTCCCTCTGGCAGCTGTGGTGGCTCTTCTGCTTTGTTAAGTAGGAGCGGGGTGATGCTTCTAATTATAAAGGAGAAAGGTCTTGTACTTCTCCCCTCCTTTGTTTGTTTGGTTTTTTGTTTTGTTTTTTGTTTTGTTTTTTGTGGGTTTTTTTTTGGTTTTTTTGGGTTTTTTTTGTTTTTGTTTTCTTCTCTTGACAAATGTTGCAAATAACAATGCTTAAAATGCAAACGGAGCAAGCTTCCATGAGGTGTCTGTGGAGGCCTGGTTGGGGTGGACTGTGGTGGAGCTCAGGAGCTGGTGACGATGGCACAAGAGCAGAGCTGGGTTGTCACCAGAGCAGTCATAGCCATGGCAGCCGTGGCTCATCTCCACGTGGAGGACTCTCTCATGTGCTTCAAAGGCTTTGTGGTTTCTCTTTGCTCTCCCCATTCAGAGGGACACTGTGAGGGTGCCCTCTCCTTGTTCTACAGGCACAATAGGGGGGGCATTTAACTGGACTCCCTTTTATCTGTGTGCTCTTCACTCCTTATTTCTGCTTTTTTTTTAAAAATTAGAAAAATTGGAGGATGAGCTTTCTAAGCTGTGTCCAGTTGCAGTCATGGCATCTTAAGGTTCCTCCTACTGTGGATGAGTGCTGCCTTTGCTGTTCCAGCCAGGTGCCTCATGTGTTTTAGCACTTGCTTGGGGAAAAAAATGAAATAAAATAACATGGTGTTGAGGTTGCAAAAGTTTCCATTATAGTTCCACCCAAACACTCCTGCCCAATAATGCTCAGAAAATTCAGTCTGGGCAATGGGGCTTTCCTGCCTGCTTGGAGGGAAGTGGAACAGCTTTTGGTTTTGTTTTTTTTCCCTTTTAATACAGAGATGCTTGAGAGCCATGTCAGGAATAGGGTGGGGAATGAGCTCTGGTGCCTGGCTCCTCAATAAAGAGCCTGGGTGGCGCAGGTTTGAAGTGTGAGCACTGAAAAATTCACTGAGCAACAGGCAGATGGATCAGTAGAAAGGGCCTTCCAGTGGGGCAAGGTGGCTCTTTGCTGTTTGGGTCACTGTTGTTTAGCTCTTCTTCTCCTGAAGAAGTGCCTTGATGTTGTTTTCAGGCTGATCTTGTCCCACTGGTGTAAAGACATCAGTTTGCTCCTCTGGGAAGGATAAGGAGGGAGTTAGCTGCTCCTGGAACATGGCTTGGTGTGCGGGATGCTTGCAAATACTCTGCTCTCATGCCTCAGTAAATAAAGAGGTTTTCATGGGACTTATAAAAAACTTGTCTTTTGGAAATAGGTCAAGCAAATATTTATTTCCCTAAGGTGTCATGCCAGTGTTGCACAAACACTTGAATGGGTAGTCATTTTATTTTTCACTGCTTTGTTTCTTCCTAAGCACATTCAGTTCTTTTTTTCCAGTGCTGTAGGGACATGCATTAATAATTGTATGTAATCAGTCCTGTCCCTCTCTCCATCTGGAAGTCTGTGCATCTTCTCTGGGCTTGTGCTCTGCAATTGCAGTGCTGTAAATCAGAAGCTGTGACACTTTTTTCTTTACATCCAGGTGCTTCTCAGCTGTGGGGATATATTTGTGGTCCAAAAGCGTTTCAGGTCAGTGGTGGACCAGCTGCTGCAATGAATTGAAAAACAAAACTCCCAGAATACAGCAAAGTTCAACAAAATGGCCATACTGGTGTCTTGCTTTCCTGTCCCAAAGCCTCAGCTGTGCTATTGCTGGTGTCTTTTGAAAGTAAGTCCAATGCTTGGGTTATCCCACGGATGGAGAGTGTAGTTACTGCCAGAAGCTGTATCTGCCCTGCTGTCTGGTGGAGCTCCTGTCTTCCCCAAATAATCAGGGATCAGTTGGCATTTGTCTTTAAAGAGGGATTGAAACTTCTTGTCTGCTCTTAAAATGGTAAAAATTAAGGGTTTAGTAAAGAGGATCAAAATTAGGCTTGAAATCTTGGGTAACTGATTTTACAGCTCTTCATCTCCAGATGTCCTGGAGTGTAAGGGTAGCAAAGGTCTGTGCTGGAGAGCACTGGAGTACTTGGAGTATACTTTGTGTAAGAGGATGTTTCAGATGGGGTTGTCTTGGATGCTTTTTGATGTGTAACATATTTAATGAACTGAAGTCTTTGGTGTCTGTGTGAAGGATCCAAATGTACTCCTGGCTCCTCATGCTTGTACTCAGGACAGGCTGCAATGGCTGGAGACCTTCCTGGTGGCTCCAGGTCCTGCCTGGGGGTGTGCAAAGCACAACTATCATTCCAGCTTCCAATGACAGAAAGCACTGGGCTTTACAACCTGCACCCTTCAGCTCTAGTCAGCCTTGCAGAGGTGGTCACCTCTCAACCAGCACCTTGAGCAGGTGGCTTTGGAGACCTCCAAGGGTTGGATGTGATGCCATTTTTCACAGCCCTGCTAAGACAGGTGTTTACACTGTGCATTAAAGGTTAATTGGCTCTTACATTGTTTTCTGGGTGTGGGGTGGCCCTTAGAGACAGATCACCCTGACACCTGTGTTGTGCAAGCCTGCTGTGTGTTGTGCTTTGATTTGTTAAACAGGATGTAAAAGCAATCTCCCCTTCTGAAATGTATCCTGCTCTTTCTTTCCTTGCAAGGAATCATTTCCATGTCAGAAAGCATTTAAGAGAGGGGGAGTGTCTCTGTTTTATAGAGACAGAGCTGACTTAAACCCAAAAATCTAAGCACAGACCCCCTCCTCAGCTGTGCAGGCACAGGGGAGGCAGGCTGTGGTCTGGGCTGTGAACGAGCAAATGATGTGAATATTTCATAATCCACCTGTTGGGCTTTGCTCCCCCAGCCCTGCATGCACTGGGAAGTGCAGCAGATGTTTTAAATGGCAGCCAGCACTCCCTGCTCCAGTGTCTGGCATCTCCCTGTTGTTTTACAGGCAGGAAAGATGGAGACTGAGGATGATGTGGCAACCACTGCAGGTTTGCAGGTCTTTTGTTTTTAGTTGTTTTCCCTCTGTTGTTCTGTCTGCCTTGGTGGTGTGGTGTTGTCCTGCTCTCCCAGCCTGTGCTGAGCTGTGGTGGTTCTGCCATGTGCCAGCATCATTCCTGGAGGCTGGAAATTTGGCCCTGGGAACACAGGTAGTGCTTGTCAGTGCATTAGAAATGAAGGTGCTGTAGGGGAGATATCTTTAGAGTTGGTGTACTGGGGGTTAATCTTACAAAACCCCTCTCCTGTGAACAGTCACTGTGTGTCCACCTGCTCCTAACCCTTTTCCAATCTCCTTTTGCTACCCTATGCTCTCCTGATTTTCCTGGCATCTCTCTTTTTCTTTGTCAGTTCTTTAGATGTGTTTTTTCAATCTTATTTTCTGCTGTGGGGTCACCTGTGTGTTTCCCTTTGCTGTTGCAGGACACTGCTTTTCATGTTACCTTCAGGGTAGGTCTCAGAGCAGCTTGTGGGCTCCCAGCAGTTTGTGGCATGCAGGGGACTGGGGTGTTTAAAGGAATTTTAAAGCCTTCATGTTCCTACTTTGATCTTTTCTGGCACCTAGAATAGGTTTTGATTGTTTGTTTATTTTTTGGATTTTTTTTATTTTTATTGTAGTTTTCAAGGGGATGGTTGGAATGGAGAGGGCGAGGGTGAGAAGCAACCCTAGCTTTGAGAGATAACCACAAATAAACAGCGTTGCATGGCAAACACTACATCCCTTGTGTGCTCAAAGCCCTGCTGATGACAGTATTGTTGTGCCTGTCCAGGTGAAATGAGATGGTGAATGGGATTTGAGATGCAATAGTGAAATTAGGGACCTCTCTGCTGAGCATCTCTGAAAAAAGGGTTTCCATCAGAAGACCTGATAGCAGGATAAGGTGGTCCTTGCTGCTGCGTGCTGTGGGCTGGTGTTGCTCTGTTCCTTGTGCTCTTCTGGTGTGAGGAAGAAGCCACCCCAGCCCACCAGAGCTTGTCACGGGCAGGGGACATTGTTCCTGCCTCTGTGTGGGCATTTCAGCATTGCTGGAGCCTTGGCTTGGAAATGGGGGCTCATTTCCCACGTGTGGGGGGATTTCCCTTCTTAATTGCAAATGTCAGCCAAGTGGAAAAGGATATGGTTGGTGTGAGGCAGTGGAGGATGGGAGGAACAACAGAGGTGTTGATGAACACGGGAGGGTTGTATTGCCTTCCCAAAATATCTGCTCTGTGGATTTCATTTCCAGTCCTTAAAGCTGGGAAACGCTGCCTTGTGCATCTGCTCTGCTGGGGCTGAGTTTGTCAGGGCATTGTAGGCATGAGGCTGGGAACAAAATGGGAAACAAAAAAAAAACATGTTGAATGTAAAATGTCATTGATTTCTTTCTCTATTTTTTGGTATTTTTCTTCTAATTTAATCAATTCCCTACTGTGTTGTAAATTCCAAATGTGAATGGGAAATAATCTCACCAGCACAATAATTAGCATGTAACCAGCAGATGAAGAAAACCCAAACTGCTGAGCTGATTGGTGAATGCTGACTGTTTTCCGAATTAATTTCAATAATCACATCTCCCATTAAAAAGAAGATGGGGTGGGGAGGAAGTCTTAAATTTTCGTCAAGCTCAATGTAGCAAAAAATGGTATGTGCAGTGTAGCTGTTCTGCATGTGATTAGAAAAAAGAGCTGAGGGAGGTTCTTGGAACTGAATTAGCAACAAAGTATTGCTAATTTTGCAACCAAGTAGCTCAATTTCATCTGCTTTTTCGGGAAGAGAAATGGAATTGTAAGTCAAATATCCATAATTTTATGTAGGTGTCTAACAGTAAATAGTCTACTAGAAGAGGAAAACATTCCCTTGCAGTCGTGCTTTGCTGCAAGATGCAAAAACAAGTCCGCTGGAGACCATTTGTAGTGAAATATGTTTGCTGTGCATCCATCCAGCTCCCAAATATTTTGTTCTTGGGCTTTGAAGGGAGAGATGGAAATTGGTGTTTGGGAAGGGGCGATGTCAGAGCATCCAGGAGCTGCACACCCTCTTGGCACAGGAATCTGCAGCCCTGCTCTGCTCTGCCTTCCTCTTCTGCTTTTGTTTTTGGCTGGTTCTGCCCCAGAGGTGGGTGGTGTTTTGAGGAGGGAGAAATCTCTCAGCCTTGCTGCCTCCATGGTGCCACATCCAGACAGCACCAGGAAAGGTCACCTCTGCAGAGCTGTACCTGGCAGCTGGTCTAATTCCACCTGAATTCACAGTCAGGATTAGCAGGCATGATTTTATCTCCTAATGATGATTTCCCCTCGTGGCCATGGCCACCTCACCCTCAGGGTTTATTTTGCAACAGAAAAGCCCAGGTGATGCTGCTACCAGCTGTTGGACCAGAGCATCACTTTAGAGGTGCTTTTTCATTCCAGTTTGAACTCAATTTTAGGAACACTTGTGATAGAACTTGGTGCTTGTAGGCTTCATTTTTTCACTTAGAAGGGCAGGGATGGTCTGCTGAAACCCTAGGCATGCAAGAGGTGGGTCCACGCTGTAGTGGTGAGAAATCCTGGAGTGTGTGATGGAACCACCTTTTAATTAATGCAAAATGCTCACTCTGGCATGAAGCTGGTGATCCCATGTGATCTCTGTTTTCAGTGTGGGGAATGAAACCTGCCCAGAGCCCCCTGGGGTGTGACAGCCAGGAGGGAGACCAGGTCCCACAGAGCATCTCTGGTGTGTGGCACTGGGCTCCTGTCCCTCCCAAAGCCTCAGGATATGATATTATTGTCATATATTATTTTAAAAACAATTTGAAAAGGCCAGGCCAGCCCAAGTGCTTTGAAACAGAATTTGTTATTTTATCAATTTGAGCTTGGTGTGCTGTGGGAAGGTCTGCAAGTGGATCACTGTGGGATTTTCTTCGCAGGTTTTCCTAATGTTAGAAACTGTCTCAAAGAAGTATCACATTGTTTCATTTCCCCTCCACACTTGATTTTTTTTTTAATAAAAAAAACTAATGTCAACAACCCTACAATAACCAGTGAGTGAATGTACACATTCTGTGCCCAGTTTTTTGGGGTTTGGTTTGGTTTTGGGTGTTTTTTTATTGTTTTTTGTGAAAAGCAAGATTTAGCTGGCAATCATGTTAGGAGCTACGGATAAAAATGTATGTTTTAAACCACCTCACTGATGGCTTTTGCTTTTTGACTCTTTAAAATGCCATTAATCAAGTTAGAGACTGAAAAAAACCCCAACAAAGCAGAGACTGAGAAAAGTCATTTGAGGTGAGTAAGCAAGCTGGCTTTTTTGTTTAATGAAAGCTCAAAAAATGGCCCACTGCCACTGTGTATGTTAAGAGTACCTTAAACACAGAGTGTCCTTCAGTGCTGACAGGCATCCCAAACACCTTTCATAATAAACCTCTAATTATAGCTTAGTGACTTTGTAGGTTCTCTGGATGAGCTTGGGAATATCGCAGTGAAATCAGGGAGAATATTTATATTTTCTGTGTCTTATGTGTGAACCAGATTTAGAGCTGGACTTGGTGAGTGTGGTACAGAGTGATGTATTTATGGTGTGTTAGAGAGCTGTGCTTGCTGCTTCATGATGTAATTTTGGGGTTAAGCTCTGCATTTTGGGAAGTACTTCCTGAATGCAGCAGTGTGGATTCCCAAATCCAGACCCCAGCTGAGCTGGTTGGAAAAGGGTCCGGCTGGTGGCCAGCGCCTGCAGCCCATCGCTACCTCCTGATGTCTGGCTCTTGGGGCTCTTGGACTACAGCCCAGCACTCAGAACCAGAGACTTCAGTAGAAATCTCTGCTTCT